AGCACGTGAATGTTTCACCCATTTATACTGCCCAGCGATTCCATTCTCAAATTACTGGTGGTCTAACACAGATTGAGACCGCTGAGCCAAAGGGTAAGAGGCACGGAAGAAGCTGGCTCAGATTCGGCAGCAACAGTACAAGTTTCTGCCTTCAGAACTTCGAGATGAGCACTAGGGCAGTTGCTTTTATTTAATGCAGACCCAGCCCAGAGACTGTGCTTGCCACTACCAAAGCTTTCTGGGCTGTCAGGGCCCAGCCCACCCAACCCCAGCATTCCCCAAAGTGCCTGCCAAACCCCGGGCCTGGCCCTACCCAGTCCCACTGCACATCCCCTGTGTCCTCCCCTTCTCCAAGTGCCTTCATGCCCTAGGGCCCCCTAAGTGCCTGTCCCTTCCCAGAGTATTAACGCTCCAAGAGTATTATTAACGCTGCTGTACCTCAGTCGGAACCTGCCAGGGCCCCAGTCCAGTCCACCCTGCCAGTGGCTTCCAGCCAGTCCCCACAACTGCAGCTCTACTCATCCTCTTTTGATAATCTCTCCTCAACCCCAGCCACCTTCGTGGGGGATGCAGGGTCATAATTCCAAACAGGTCATGCTCAAATAAAGGTGATTTTACCTGCAGAAAAAAAAAATTGCAACTTTTTATTTACCCCCTAAATGTCCTTGACAAGCTATTTAACCACACTGTCTTTCTGTTTCCTCATCTACAAAAAGATGGAAATAAAGATGGTATGTATCTCATGAGATTGGTGATGAAGATAAATGAAGAAAAATGTAAAATAGTCTCTGACCCATACTAATAATAATCACTAATGTGATTTTTTCCCAAATAAAAGAATAAATATGATAATTTTTTAATTATATTTTGTAGACAAGTTTGACTGCCTACTCACAAAACCTCTTTGGAGGTTAACACACTGTACACAGTCCAGACTCTCAGTTTTTAGTTCTCCTTTCTAGCCTCTTGAGTGGTTCTATAAAACTCTTTGACCTGTTTCAATTTTCATCTGTATAAAATCAAGAAATAGCATAACCCTACAGCTATTGAGTTCACTCTGACTCATAAAGACCCCATTCCATGGGAAAGAGCTGTCCTGTAGCATTTCTAAGCCAGCAGACTTTTACGGAAGCTGACTGCCACATCTTTGTCCCATGAAGTTATTGATAAGTTCAAATTGCTGACCTTCCCATTAATAGTCAAGAGCTTTAACCATGTGCAACCAGGCCTCCTAATAACCCTAATAAGCATGGGTTTATAATGAGTAATAGAAGTGCTAGAACATAAAACATAGTGTCTGTGTGGGAAGAAGGCAAATGTGATTAATTACTGCTCTATCCTATTTGAACAGTGTGTGCCCAAAGATAAATCATGTATGTTTAATTCTCATGGTTCATGATTGCCTTCTTTACATATTCACCACTCATGAAAATTTATTTGTAACTTTAAAACCAACAACTATGGCACTTCTAGACTCACTCACAGACATGCTTATTATTGTTGTTGTCAAATGCCATCAAGTTGTAGGCAACTCGCAGAGACCCTATGAATGAAAGACCTGGACACCTAAATAACTTTTGTCTTTCTTTCATGTTCATAGGGTTTCCAGAGGCAAGCTATTGTGGAGGTGGATGACACTGCTGCTTCCAAGCTTGTTTTAAAAAAAGTTGAGTCCCCAAAATGCATAGTCCCAGTTGAGGTTGCTGAGGTTGAATGAGGCGACCCTGTGCCTTCCTTGTTTCCATGCTCATAGTACAAACAAGTGTGCTTTTGAAGTCTATTAAGTATTAGATTTTCCACACTTTTGTTGAAGATTTTATTGTTTAAAATGGCCCCCAATTGTAATGTTGCAGTTCTGTTTATTGTTCCTAAGTGCAAGAAGATTACAACGTGTTACGGAGAAGGAGAAGTGTTGTTTAGGCCTAGTATAGTGTTTTTAGATTTAAGTTCAATGTTAATTGTTGTTGTTGATTGCCATCGAGTCAAACATGACTCATAGAGACCCTATGAACAAAAGGCCTGAAGCCTTTCTATAACTATCATCGTTTATCAAAGTTAATAGAGTTTCCAGAGGCATTTTGTTTAGGAAGTAGATTACTCAACATTATATATTCAGTAAGATGTAGTTAAGCACAAATATATCCACACAAAAGAACTTGGTCATGTATTGATCTACTGCAAAATAAATAAATAAATGAATGAATGAACGAACGAATGAATGAAATGTTGTAACCACAGACTCACAAGAACTTACCTTGTAATTGCCTTTGGAACAGAAGCTCAGCCCTCATTAACTAGTGTTTGCAATGACCTTACAGAATTAATTGTATATTTTTGTTGTTGATTGCCTTCAAGTCGAGCACAACTCATAGTTACCCTATGAACAAAAGGCCTGGAGCCCCTCTACAAATATCAACATTTATCAAAGTTCATAGAGTTTCCGGAAGCATGTTGTTTAGGAATGGATGCCACTCCTGCTTCCAAAATTGTATATTATGTTCTAATTTATCAGTGCTAGAGAAGACCACATACTTTGAACATATTTACGAAGGGCCAGTCCCTGGAGAAAGACATCTTGTTAAGTAGGTCAACAAGAGCAAGACCCTCAATGTGGTAGAGGGACCCAGTGCCTACGACAGTTGGCTCAAGCACAGCTCCAGGCATGTGCGGGACACCAGGCCAGGAAGCATACTGTTCCATTGTACATCTAGGGTCACTGTGGGTCAAAATCACACACCCCCAAAGAAGCTCACTATATAAAGTATAAAGGAACTTTTGGGACCTTTTACTATTTTGTTGTTAATGTGTACTGTCAAAGAGGGATCAGTTCATAGTTGACCCTCCAGGGGATTTTCAGTGGCTGTAAGTCACACAGGAGTTGATTGCTCATCTGTCTCCCATGGAGCAGATGACATATTCGAACTGCATGCCTTTGGATTGAAAACATAATTCCTTACCACTAGGCCACAGAGCTTTGCTATTCTAAGTCACCCTTAGAAGGGAGCTCTGGTGGCCTAGTGTGTAGGAAGTTGTGCTGCTAACCCAAAGGCCAGGCATGCCTGGCACAAATGCATCGGTCACTCCGCAGGAGAAGGAGAAGAATGGGCAATCTCCTCTTGTGTGATTTACAACCTCAGAAACCCAATGGGGGGGGGTCAACTATAAGTTGGTTCCAACTAAATGACAATGATGTAGAGTTGATTATTACAGTTAGTCCAACATACTACACCAATGGACCATACGTGTCTTCTCTGTTTTCCTCAGTACCCTATGAATTCCTTAAAGGCAAAAGGCATATCTTATTTAACTTTATAGCCTCAGTACTTAGAATAGTACTTGATACCTTAAAAAAAAAAAAAAAAGACAAACTGATTACTGTCAATCACTGTTAAGCTGTTAAACACCACAGAGATTTTAAGGATGATACAGGATTGTGTCGGGTTTTGTTCTGTTGCTTAGAGGGCTGCCGAGAGTCTTGATTGACTCAGTGGCACCTACAGCATCAACAGCACTGTCACTGACTTGATTCAGTGGTTAACAGGACAGAATAAACTGCCCACAGGTTTCCCAAGATTGTGATCTTTGCCGAGGATTGCCAGATCTTCCTCCTGCAAAGCACCTAAAGAGTTCAAACCACTTAATCTTTCACAGGCAGCTGAATATTTACCCACTCTGCCAGTGGGCTCCATTTCTTGGTCCATACATTTTGTGCATAAATTAATGGATGAGTGGAAGGATTAATATATGCTTGCATGACTAATTATCTTTAAAAAATTATCTCTGAATTTTTCTTAATTTTCTTAAAGCAAACCATTTTCTTAAAGCAAATTATCTGGCAATGTTCCTGGGTATCGGAGCAGGCCAGTATGCAAACTCTCTCTTTAGTATTCCATAATGCCCGTGTTTGTTACCATTAATACTGTGCTCTAAAGTATTGCATTTTAATAGTTAGATTTCGAACTGAATGTCTCCTGTCTTTCTATATATAATTCTATATAAATGCATTCTGCTTCATGCAGGTGTATAAGATTTCAAAATGCAGTTAAGAGTACTCCTAATTATTGGCTTCATATGAAACCATTTGAGAATAATTTTAGGCTTTTTAAAAAGTATCGTGTTATCCAGTGCTGCAGTGCTGGAGCGACCTGCAGACACCATCTAGAACAAACATTTCACTTTTGTAGTTGAGAAAAAATGAAGTGAAAAGGAGGTGAATAATTCGTTCAAGGTTGTAAAGCTCGTCAGAGACTGTACTAGCCCTAACTCTAAAACCCAAACCAAATCCAATGTCATGGAGTTGATTTCAACTCCTGGCAACCCTGTATTGGGTCTCTATGACTGTAAGTCTTTACTTAGATGCCTCATCTAGCTTCCTCAGAGATTCAAACCACTGACCTATTGGTTAGCAGCCCAGCATGTAACACCAGGGCTCCTTAGCCCTGACACTAAGTCCTGTATTTTCAGGCCAATGATTTTGCAAACACTGAGGCCACAATTCTTTAGTGATGCCAATTCTAGAAGTTTCAGAACTGGCCCTGTAAGTGCAAACTGGCCAAGACAAGACTATGATTTCTTGAATAGCACATATGGTGGTGGTTCTGGGCTGATCGCCAATAACAGAAGAGCCCCGTAGCCCATATTAATGCTTTTGGATGTATACAGTCATTTACATGGCGTTTAACTTTTAAGGTGTTAGAGAAATGCAGGAAGGCAGCTAACAGGAGGCAACATCAGAGGGGAACCCCCACACGCATAAAAATCTTCATAATGTCCCTTTGCAATTTTTAAACATTTGAACTTTAAACTTTTTAACTTCCATAAATTATGTTGAAGGTTTGATGGAAACATTTTACTAAGCAGTGGATTCTTTTTCTTTCCCTCCTCACTGTGCGTTTGTGTGTATAGGAGAATCAGAGGTCATTTTCAAGGGTGCAATGTAATATTACATACATATCCTTTTAATGAGTATAACATTTGCTTTTTATTGTTTTTATACCCAGATTCAAAGGATTCCAAGGAGAAGAATAAAATGGAAATCCTGTACATACTGGTGCCAAGTGTTGCCATCCCCCTGGCCATTGCGCTACTCTTCTTCTTCATTTGTGTCTGTCGCAATAACCAGAAGTCGTCCTCGCCACCAGTCCAGAGACAACCGAAGCCTGTCAGGGGTCAGAATGTGGAGATGTCCATGCTGAATGCATATAAACCCAAGGTACAACGAGCTATCCAGAACTGCATTTATTCCTTGACCTTTAGCATTCCCAAGCTCAAAAATCCAGTGATGTAGAATCAGAATTTTACAGCACCAATGCTCTTTTTTTCTGAAGACATACAGGCTTACTCCTATATCACTAACATTGTCTATAGCTGCATAAATATACTAACACTGCATGTTCATTTCCAGATGTGGCAGCTATATCACATTTTAACGTAAGATTGCGGAGGTAGATGGAATCTTTAGGAGATCACCTATATTTGTCCTATACCCATGTTTTGGAGTCATTTCTTATTCCTAGGACCTTATGGGGCGGAATAGTATTGTCCTGTAAGACCTGCCCTATGGATGTACATATTAAGGAAGGCTAACAGAAAGGTTTGAACCACCAACCTTTTCATTAGAATTTGAACATTTACACCTTGAGGGCTCCACATCAGCCCATTAGACTCAGAACTTCCAAAGAAGAAAATTCTTCCAACCAAACTGAGAAAGGAAAATGACAAGAAAGAGAGAGAAAGAATAAAGCCATCGTTGCTGGCTAAGTTCACTGTTAAAAAGAAAAGAAAAATTCTTTTTATGCCTATCCTAAATCTCTTTATTTTTGGATAAGAATATTTTAAGAAAAATGTTATGCTCTCTCTCCTGTTCTCCCTATACTCTTATTCATGTCCTTTTAGAATTCCTCTTGTCTCTGTGCTAAATCAGCCACTTCCTTTGAGGTTTTTTTTTTCTCATCGTCTTTCACCAGTTCTGTCCCTCGAGGTCCTGGCAAGGAACTCGGGGTCACTGGCCTTTACCTTCAGTGGCGCACACACACATGACATCTCTGAGCTGAAATACAACACAGCTTTTTCTCAGGAAATGCAGCACTGAAATCACAGGCCTCTGAACAGAGATTCCATGGAAATAATTTAGGGATTCTCACCATCCTAAAGCCTGCCTTTTTTCATTTTGTTACAGCTCCATAGGAAATTCATCCATTCCATCAACAAATATTTATCTTCCCTGTGGGTTAATGATCAGATTATTCTCTTTTAAAAAGCCCCATTGTCAAGCAGGTAATTCCAAATCATAGCAACACTATTGGACAGGGCAGAGCTGTCACTAGGATTTCTAAGGCTGTCATCTTTACTGAAGCAGACTGCACATCTTTCTCATGTGGAGTAACGGGTGGGTTTGAACTGCCTGCCCTACTTTTGCTCGTTGGAAGCAGGAGTGGCATCCACTTCCTAAACAACATGCCTCTGGAAACTCTATAAGCTTTGATAAACACAATAGTTATAGAGAGGGTTCAGGCCTTTTGTTCATAGGGTCACTATGAGTCGTGCTTGACTCACTAACAATCAACAACAACAACAACTTTGGCTTGACAGCTAAACATTTCATCTACATCATTTTGCAATCACTCTTTAAGTAATTTGGGATGGAAAATGCCTTCCCACTCTAATTCTTTCAGCTAATAAGTGAAGTAGCATAATTGGGACTGACACGTAGCCTTCAGTTTCTTTTATTTTGCTTTGTTGGCCAGTTGTTGGGTGTTGTTTTGTTTTAGTTAATTAAAGAAATTTTTGATAATATGACATTTTTGCCATTGTAAAAACATTTGTTGATAAGGTCTTAAAGTTTTTTAAATGTTAAAATATTTTTTAAAATATGTTCTGTCTTAGCAAAACCACTGTCTCTTACAAATTATGAATTATAACCAGAAGCAGAGTCACAGATGCGAAGATCATAGAACTTACACAGTAGTTTAGGGGCATAAGGGCATGAGTGGAATAAAAATTCAACTTTTGGCATCCTAGCTTCTAGCTGTACAAGTGACGTGCATTATTATGGTTGCATTGTGCATACAGATTACATTCTTATCCTTGCAAAGTCGTAAAGGATTTCAAAACACTTGGGTTTTGAGAAGTGAGATAAACAGTCCAGTGTTAAACAGAGCAATGAGTAGAGTTAGGTTTAAAGTTGGTTCTCTTTAATGATAGAGCCTTTGTGCTTCTCAATGCTAGACCTCGGGCTAGAGGGCCCTCCAGCGTTGGGCAGGTACCTGAAGGTACCGAAGGTTTACCTAGGAGTCTTGGCATTCTGTCAGTCACTTTTGACTATGTAACATTTATCCAGGTGAAGCTGAGTCTGAAGGGAGAAATCATTGTGGAGATTTATAAGGAAGAGCAGAAAAGAGTAGGAGGGTAGAACCTGGGAGCAAGGTTCCCCACTTGGAAACTGTGAGAAAGCTTGGGCCTCACAAGGTTCCCCAGCTGGATCCTGTGACCTGAAGTTCCACAAAGGCAGTCTGGTTGTTGATCAGTACATCAGAGTGGGAGCATCTGGGACAAGGACCAATTTAGAAAGAACAAGGAAAAGATCTTTCCTCACCTACTTGTCATAGAAGTTATTCTTCATTCTGATCCCTTTACCCAAACTTTAAAGAGCTGTTAAGGTAATTAGTGGTACATTGCTCTAGGGGGAAGCCTTGTTGTTACAGCAACCCTGTGAAAGGTGGAGGGACAGCGCAGGAGAGGAAGACCCCAGATGAGGTGGCTTGATACAGTAACTAGGACAATGGACATAAGTGTGTGGGAATCAAGGAGACTGGCTCAGGACAGGGCAGGATTCAGAGCTGTTGTACATAGGATCACTTTAATCACAGGTGATTTGATGGCACATAACAACAACATGAACAACAAGCTTGAATCCTGTCCTATCCTGTGCCATCCTCATCAACTCTGAAACACTTGAGCCAATTGTTGCAATCACCATATTAATGTGTCTCATTCAGGGTCTTCCTCTCTTTTGCTAGCTCTCCCTCCACCTTTCCAAGCATGGTGTCCCTTTCCAAGGAATGGCCCCTCATAACAACATGCCCAAAGTATGAAAGACAAAGCTTCATCATCCTTGCCTCCAAAAAGGACTCTGGCTTCACTTTTTTCCAAAGAGATCTGTTCCTTCCTTTGTAAGTCCATGAGATATTCAGTACTCTTCTCCAACAACACAATTCAAAGGCATCGGTTCTTCCTCTGTCATCCTTATTTATTGTCCAGCTCTCAGATGCATAACAAGTGATTGAAAAGACCATGTGTAGGGCCCTCTCAGTTCATTCACTTTCTGTTAGTCATTAATTCTTAGGTATGAATTCCATTCTCTCACGCTGGGAAGGTGAAAAGGAGGGAAGTCTTCCAGGTGAATTCCTCCGGAAGCTGAGGATGGAGGAAGTGCCAGATTGGAAGCCCACCTTTCCCTTCAGTGTTCTTCCTCATGCAGTCATTTCACTTCTTCACGACATCATTTAAGAACTGCAAGTGCCCAGGAAGTGGATACAATCTAAGATATAAATTAGGCATTTAGCTCTGACCTCTCACCATGCTGCTCTCACATACTCTCCAAAACAGGCTCATGCTGTTCGAATCCACCAGCTGCTCCATGGGAGAAGGATGGGCATTCTCTTCTTCCCAGGCAATCAATTGCCTGTGAAAACCTGCTGGAAGGGCAGTTATGGGTTGTTTCCAACTCGACGGTACAGAACAACAACAATTACAAATTACCTTTAGATGCTCCTTACATAGATCTTGGGACACTTCAACTAAAGAACACAATATTCGCCTGATAGTTATTTATACATCTCTGAGAATGAAAAGAAAAAAACAAACCAACTATCTTTTTTTAAAGTTCACCTTTCTACAGAGACATGAAATGAAGAGCATGGGTTCATGAGTTAGAATTGTCCTGTGATCCTGGACCATGCCCTTCACCTCTCTGTATCTGTTTCCTTATACGTAAAATAAGAACACTGGCCTAGTGAGTGGTTATTGGATGAATTACTATTTGTAAAGCACTTGGAGGAAGGGTAAGTATGAGCCATATCGACAGCAGTGCTCAACTGACAGTACTTGAAAAAAGACTGGTGCTGGTCAGCTGGATGCTTCTAGAAAGTCTTAGTTGTGACTGTGGTAATAGATGAAAATAAACAAATGGGTTCAGACTCAACACAATCCTCTAGGGGAGCAACTGTCCATCTGTTTTCTAAGAGGCAACTAGTAGATTCAAACTGCCAACTTTCCTGTTAGCAGCCCTAGATATTACACCAAACTTCCTTTTGAAAATGGAAAGAGTATTATTACTGTAATTCATGAGATAATACCTAGTTGGCCTTTACCTAGCCTGTGACCATTAAGTATCTAGTACAATAGTTATTGTTCCGTTTGACTCTTTCTCCATTGTTTTCTTCTATTAACTGTTGAGAAACCTTTGAAATTCCAGAGATCTATGTGTGAAAGAAACGGCAATCTGTTTGGTGACAGCAGTAGAGGATGCAGTGGGCACCGCCTTGGACAGCCCGGCTCCACGTTGTTGTTGTGGAAACCATGAGAAAGGACCTTTCCAATCAGGAAAATGACCTATTAGTGTGAGCCTCAACCCACAACCTATTTCGATTTGCGGTGGAGGTTTGTTTCGCAAGACGTATTGGTCAACAGACATGATGCCTTTGATTTACATAGTCTTTGTGAGCGCACTGTGACATAAACAGCAAACTAGCTCTGGTGGCTCAGTGGTAGGAAGTTACACAGCCAACGCAAAGGTGCACAGTTCGATTCCACCAGTTGCTCTGTGAGAGAAAGATGGACAGTCTCCTCCCATGGGATTTACTGCCTCTGAAAACCTGCCAGGAAGGTAAGCTAGGGGTTAGTTCCAAGGTGACAGCACACAACAACAATAGCAACTAACATATTGTCAAGCCATAGTAGGAGTTTTGCATTCATTAATTCTTATAATCCTTAGATTATTATCAGTTATTATCAATATTTTGGGGTTGGTTCCAAGGTGACAGCACCCAACAACAATAGTAATTAATATATTGTCAAGACATAGTAGGAGTTTTGCATTCATTAATTCTTATAATCCTTAGATTATTATCAGTTATTATCAACGTTTCAGGGAGCGCTGGTGGCCTAGTGGGATGGAGTTTGAGTCCACCAGTAGCTTCGTGAGAGAAATAT